CAAGCCTGACCTTAAAAACCTCTAAGGAAGGAGATTCTACCACCTCCCTAGGTAACGCATTCCAGTGTTTCACCACCCTCTTAGTGAAAAAGTTTTCCTAATATCCAATCTAAACCTCTCCCACTGCAACTTGAGACCATTACTCCTCGTTCTGTCATCTGCTACCATTGAGAACAGTCTAGAGCCATCCTCTTTGGAACCCCCTTTTGGCTGCATTGCCAGCCCCACGCGTGGGCCTGTGCATGAACGCACCCAGCAGGTTTGGAAGCACCGGGCCCCAGGTCACCCCCAGGCTCTCCCATCCTCACTGGGCCGAGCACTGACAGGGAGGAGAGAGCACGGCTCCCGCTCGGATTTTACCACAGATCTTGCTGAGGCTCCCCTCCGCTCTCTGCTTTCTCCAAGCACAGACTCCCAGCAAGGGCAGAGCGATTCTGCTGCTCCACTTGGGGCAAGAGAGGAGTTTAAACACACTGCCCAGAAGCCAGCAGGACTGACTCCATTTAATCTCGGACTCGGACACAAGTGCCACCAAGAATTCCCTGCCCACTACCAGGTATCCCCTGGTCTCCATCAGCCAAAGGGTCCCTGCTGCATCTGATCACAGACAGATGGGCTACCCCCAAGCTAGCAAGGCTCCAGCCAGTACGGAGATGGTCATGTCTCTACTTTATGCAGGACACCCCCAGATAGCACAGGGACAGAGAGCTGGGAATGAAGGCCTCATTGCGCTCCATGCGTATGAATGCATTCACCTAAGCAATGGCCATACTTTGCAATTAGCTGGTTCCACATGGCAAGCAGGGCCAGGCAGAAAGAGGATGGACGCATGTGTGAGGTGCCTTGGAAGCTGCCTGTTAAACTCATTCTAGACTCCTCAGAGGAAGAGCCGGTCCAGGTAAATCTTTCTGGAGACGGAAAGCACGGTTCAGGCGGAGTTGCTGTACACTCAGTTCCCACCTCCGCCAGAGATTTCCCAGGTGACTTGATTATTCGTATTCCTGTAGCACGTAGGAGCAGACTTTGGGCAAGTCCCATGATCTTCCCCTCTGCAAAATGGGGACAATCTTTTCTTTTGTCTCAAGCCTGCAGTCCTGCGCCCGGATCTGCACAGGGCGACCTCTGCACCTTCCCAGAGCCCCACTGACGTCCCCAGGGAGGAAATGGCAGAATTAGGGCCGCCTTGGTACCTGACTGTCTTGTTATCCCTGTGTACAGTACCTAACACACTATAATGCCAATCTCCTCAGTAAATAATGGGGTACTGTCTACTGAAAACATTGAGATCAAACATTTCAGGGCAGCATCCTGCCCTATGTTCTGCAAAACCCTGTGTGAATTTCATCAAAACACGCATAGTCTATTAAGGACCACTGTGCCAGCCAGAGGGACTATGGTTGATGGCGTCGCACCAGACTTCATGTAGTGTAGCTCCCAGAGCTGGCTCAATCTTGCAAATCCACACGTCTCTGGGGCAGCCCTGCAGGCAGCACCAGGTAGGCAGGGGGCGCACCCCTCCACTCACTGTTGGAGAGGGAGTTTTTGCATCCATAAGCGAGACACGGATTTCACACAGGAGGTGGGGAGATCTATCATTCAGAGAATGTTCAATTTCCTGCGACCATTTCCTGCTTGCAGCCTAGGTAGACAATCCGTCAGCGCTCTCCACGGTGCTCGATTGCATCTGCATTGGGGGTTCTGGTGGCCCAGTTCCAAGCGGATGTTAAGTCCGCGTTCTACAAAAGCTTTATAACTACTTTTCCTTACCTGCATTACCACCATCCCGCCGATTGTTAAAGACGGAGAGAATTTTTAAAATACAATTCCCTCTGCAGTCCTGACTTGTATCCATTTCCATTTCTGAGCTTGGATAATGAAAATCCATCCAGCTAGTTTTACTGGTGGCTGGCGAGCGTTTGGTTAAAGACTCTTCCAGTGCACCTGCCCATCACCCCCGCACATCTCCATTTATGAAGATGTTTCCAGTGATATGCGGCTTTGGAAAATATATATATTTTTTAATCTAAATTTTGGTCCAGACTTGTGTCTGAAACAAGCACGGAGGAATGTTCTCACCTGCTGCTGTCAGGGCTCCTCAAGAATTATGTCAAATGCCTGAACCAGCACAGCTTCTCGTTCTGCTTTCGGTGCCACTGTTGGAAGCTGAACCTCAGAAACCCAGACTGGGATTTTCAAAGACGCCTAAGGGAGTTGGGTGCCTGTGTTCGGCTCCCAAAGCTGCATGACAGTGGACATTGTTTTGTTAATGCCTTTGATTTATCTGTACATCTATCCAACCACTGATCTGGGACCTTAAACAAGGGCTTCCCAAGGGGCCTGTTAGCATCTAAACAAATGATTTGAATATTGAGAAGTGTATTATAACCATAGCCAGTCCTTGCAAGGATCATGGCTGGAACATGGCCAACAGGGAACCCAAAGGCTGGGTACGTGGACCAGATATCAGCAGACTGTAGAAACATCAATCTGCATGACAGTCAGGCGTAAAGTCTTGAGTTTGGAAAGAAGGCTATTAAAGTCACCGACCCCGAACATGGAAGTGGCAAGAAAAAAAAAGAAGTGGTGCAAGAACCGTAGCCAATTCCAGGCAGGCCACCACGCAACAGAGCAGGCCAAACAAGCATCTGCACAACAGAGCTGGGCTGAGAAAGGAAAATCTGTTCACCGAGGATTTTGCTATTTTGTTTCATTCCCATTCAGAGAGTAGCCCAAACAGTTCAAAATTGTCAGTGGAAGGGGATGGGGACCAGGCAGCCTGGAAGCCCTGGGGTCTTGTGCAGGATCGACAATTTGGGCTTGGGCGAAAGCCCAGATCCTGGGACCCTTGCCGCTCGTAGGCCAGCTGCGGGTACTTCCTTGCAGCGTAGGCATACCCACGCTGGCAGGAACAGCGCTGCATTCCCTCAAACCGTCATCAAAATCAAACTGTCACGGAAAAGCTTTTCACTTCTGCATTGGCAAATTCTGGCCCCCAAAAACTTTCATCTGACTTTCCTCCCCGGACTAGCTCCAGTTCCAGGAGCACCCATGAGCAGATTCTTTTGGTCATCTTCATGTCAACAGCAAAACTCCGGTTGACTTCAGTGGGGCCAGGATTTCACCTTCCATTTCTCACACACAACCGTCCAGAGCATGGGGTAGCTTTTCCTTAATTAGCTTCTTGCTGCTCCAGTGCCATTATTTTAAGTGTTTCAGGCTGCCTGGGGCATAAGCCGGGTCTGCTTCGCTGCTACGTCACGTGCCACACTCCCCACTCCATTTGTCGGAGGGTGCCATTTTGCCCAGCATTTGCTCTGTCCAGAGGCTCAAAAATGAATGCAGGACTCCGTGTATACTGCGAACAGCAACCGATTATCCATATCTGCTTTCCAAGCATCTGCACTGGTTGGGTCAGTTTCACTTTACAACTCAGGGAAACTATTTTTTAAAGCCATATGACGAATTTTTTGGGAACAGCTACATTTGGGCCCTAAACTAGGCTGATTTCTCTCTGGAAGAAGAGCGATGTCAACCATGTCTCTCTCGCTGTGAAGGCAGGGGAAGAGTGACACATTTTTGATTCCGTGCCCATCCCCCCTTTAAATTGTGGATTTCTCCAAAACAATATTATTGTATTGTAATATATTGTAGAGGCAAACTCTATGCTCCTCCACTACAGCCAGGGAGACAGAGGTTATTCGCTCCCCACTAGCACCCACGATCCCCAGCACACCCACACACAATGTTCTGGGGGCAGAATTCAAGGTAACGAGAAGTGCCTCTTGCTTCGACATACTATTGATTGCTGTTAAGGTCCAAGATCCACAGTGCTGAAATAATTTTGCATCCTCTACCTTCTGCTGGAGGCGGCCAGGGTTGAATCCGACGGTGGGCAGCTCAGTGAAACCGAGCAGCTCGTAGCTTTAAGGTACAAGAATGGATCTCACTGCAGCTTCCTTACAGGGCCTGCCAGACCACTGGTGCATCTCATCCAGAAACCAACAGCAAGCAGCCTGTAGTAGGTGCAAGCAGCACGATCCCATAATTATCTATTAGAGGAATCACTTGCCAATAGAAGTTTCTTCCTGACAGCCATGGTTAACTTATGCCTTGAAGCATACGAATGGCCACACTGGGTCAAACCAATGGTCCATCTAGCCCAGGATCCTATCTTCTGACAGTGGCCAGTGCCAGATGCTTCAGAGGGAATGAACAGAACAGGGCAATTATCAAGTGATCCATCCCCCGTTGTCCAGTCCGAGCTTCCAGCAGTCACAGGTTTAGGGACACCCAGGGCATGGGGCTGCATCCTTGACCATCTTGGCTAATAGCCATTGATGGACGTACCCTCCATGAACTGATCTAATCCTTTTTTGAACCCAGTCATACTTTTGGCCTTCATAACATCCCCTAGCAATGAGTTCCACAGGTTGACTGTGTGTTGTGTGACATACTTCCTGGTTTGTTTTAAACCTGCTGCCTATTAATTTCATGGGGTGACCCCTGATTCTTGTTATGTGAAGGGGTAAACAACACATCCCTGTTCACTTTCTCCACCCCCATCATGATTTTATAGACCTCTCTCATATCCCCCACCCTCCATCATCTCTTATCTCCAAACAACAGGCCCCGTTTTTTTAATCTGTCTAGAACCTGTTCCTCACCCCTGTATAATTTTTGTTGGCCTTCTTTGTACCTTTTCCTAATTCTAATACATCTCTTGAGATGGGACGACCACAGCTGCATGCAGTATTCAAGCTGTGGGCGTACCATGGATTTATTTCGTGGCATTATGATATTTTCAGTCTTATTATCTATCCCGTTCCTAACATGGTTAACGTTTTTGACTGCCGCTGCTCATTGAGCAGATGTTTTCAGAGACCTATCCATGATGCCTCCAAGATCTCTTTCTTGAGTGGAAATAGACCCCATCAGTTTTTATAAAGGATAAAATTCATGTTTAAAAATCACCTGTGATGAAATTAAAGAGGGAAAAGGCCTTTTAATGTAAAGTGCCATTTATTATTTTTTCCAGGATGAAAATAGTTAAAAAAAAATTGCACCAACAAAATGCTCAATAGACTTTCCCCTTCACCTCCAAAACCAAGCGCAAAAGCAAAACAAAACTACCCCAAAGCGTTTGAATCGTAGAATCCCCACCGTTTTTTTATTTAAATAAGAGGGAAAAAAGATATACCCCCCACCCCAGAGCCTCATGGCTCATATACATGACCAAAAACAGTACATAGTCATTCAGAGCACACGATCTCACCATTTCAATTAGAATTGTTTTTTTTAATTAACCCAAACACTTTGTATAATACATTCAATCCTCCAGAGTTGCCAGATTTGATGGAATATAAGTGCACTCTAGGAAAAAAAAAAAACAAATGGGATGTTGGAAATCATACAACTGCCACTCAGGGATGATGCGTCAGATTCCAGCTCTCAAATCTTTTCTAGCTATCAGACAAGTCTTCCCTCGGGCTATTAAACTGTACCCATTTTCTTCCTGCTTTATAAATATTATGGGACACCGTGGCAAACGGACAGAGTGAAATCTGAAGCCTGCAGCATAAGCTTTGGTTTGGAGCAGTAGGGAAACCTGTCTCCCCTTCTTCTGGGAATCAGGAGATTGTACCAACTTTGCAGGTGTTCCCCCGAACAGAGTAAGAGACCCACATTCGTCCAGCCCTCTCATCTGCTTTTCTGCATGCGTGTCTGATTAACTGGTCTGATTAACGAGAACCCAGGCACGAGAGCACCTGATAATCTGATCAAATAGGGTAACTCCAGGGTCAAAACGGTAAAAATAACACCAGTGCCTGAGCCGCTGGTACTATTTGAAAAAATGAGCACAGCCCGCCATATTTGTGTGTGTGTGTGTTTTAAAAAACACCCAGCATATCTGAATCACAATCAGCAGCATGAAACGCATCTATGGGGAGGGAGGGAATCCCCCACCCCTCCTTAAATGATTACACAGTCAACGTGCTGGTTGAAAGACTTTACCCCACACTGGCTGACACCTTGCCCTTCATCAAAGGGGTGAAATAGACACCATACAGACATGGAAGGTGCTTCATGAGTGATCAGGTTCTGCTCCACATCCTTTCCTTTTCAGGTAGATTCGATACATTCCCCAGTGGAACGTGGTTACAGGAGAAGAATGTATGCTTTTTGGGGGAGGGGGGCACTGATATGTCTGCTGCCTACCCAATAAAGGAACTGTCCATTAGAAAGCAGCTGTGGCCACACTTTCCAAGCCTCACAAATCACACACCCCCACTTCCCCGAATTTACAAGTTCACAATTGACCTTTGCAGCCACTGTGGGCTGGCGCAGGTTTTTCCTTTAACAGCAGCACAAGAATGCTAGGGCTGAGGACGCAGACAGCCTCTGCCCATTAAGCCAAGACATCGTGCCTTAGGAGACCCGACAAAGACAAGATTTCTAGACTCTAGCCAAATGGAACTCGCACATCACAGAGACCCCTCCCCGAAAGCCAAGAGGGCAAGGGAATGAGTCATTCCTATGGCTTGTATTTCTACGTCAGGCAGGAAAAGAAAGGGTAAATTTAAAAAAAAAAACAAAAAAACATAAAAGGCTCTTTGAACAGACCCTGTCCATGTGATCCATGCAGGCTATCTTCCCACCTCATGAGACTCAACTGTTATAGCAAAACAAGGCCCTTCCTTGCTCCCGTACCGGCAAGGTACGTACCTATCATTCCCTAGAGAGGTAGCTTGAGAGAAGCAAGATTCCACCAAAGGTGAGCAGGCCCTTCCAGTTAGCTATCGTTTAACCTCTTATTCCCTTCCCTCAAGGAAATGAAGAACCGGATCCACCCTAAGAAAGGGGAGATAAATACACTTGGCAAATTCCATACGTACTACTGCCAGTCTCACAAAAACAAACAAGGCCTAGTACAGTTCCACAAGAGGCTTCCCTCAGACTTCATGTCTGAATCAGCTCACACACTAATCAAAGGGCAGGAGCAAACAGCTACCTCAGTTAGTCACTTTCTCTTAGCCATCCGGGTCTTCCTGCCCAGATAGCCTACAGGAAAATGTTTCTGAGAACCAGGCAGCTCCCGTGGAAAGTTAGAAAGCAAGATCTGCTTGCCCAAGGCAAGACTCTACTCCCAGCTCAGCAGCAGAAAAGACAGCGTACGACTGGTGTCCCCCTTCTAGGGAGCAGTATGGAGATCTTCGTGGTTCAGAGGTTGCCAGCAGGATTATCGTTAGATGAAGCACATTTGGAGTGACCACTCCACCTATCACAATTAGGGAACTCTGCCGCGCAGGGATTTGTACTGGCCTTTGGCAGGGAACGCCGAGCAATGGGGATAGCAATCATAACTCGAAGTAGCAGCGCTTCCCCAATGGAAGAGGCTAAAACTGGACAGGACTCCTAACTGCTGGAGCAGGGGGCGGGAGAGGGGCTGCAATGGTGCAGGCAGCTCTGTGTAACAGTTCAGCCACCGTGCAATGGCATCTTTACCTATCAGAAGAGCGAAGAGACGTGCACCATGTCTGGGTGGCTTTGAGAGGTCTTTCCCCTACCCAAGAAGCATGTGCCATCAAACTGGCAGAAGGGGAGATTTTGCCCAGGCAAAGAGGACCGTTTAAGACACCCAGCTCCCATTAAAGCCAATAGGAGTTAGGCACCTAATGGTCCTCGGGAAAGTCTCCCCCAGAGACTTGATTGCTTTTGGCTAGTTATGTCACAAAACTAGTTCTGATGTGTGGTTTCATTCCTCCAGTGGCCTTGTACAGCATCTCGCCAGCTGGTCATAAGACAGCTGGAGTCACAGCTACCTCGCCCTGGTCTTCTGCCTGAAATGGTTGTCTGAAGGCTGCCGGCTGAATACACAGTTATGAACCAGCCACTCTAAAACAGTGAGACCAAGCAGGGGAGGGGAGGGAAGAGAATGAACTTCCAGACTAGGTATATTCCTGGGGAGATCACAGGTTTGAAACCCTCTGGTAGGAGCTGGGGGGGAAAAAGATCAGTGCTGGAGGAAAAACAAAACGAAGCCCAATCCTGATCACTAGCAGGCAGCTTGGAGACCTTTTCAAACAGGTAAAGAACCCAGGGTGGAAATCTGCTGTTTGGCTTCCTGTAGGATTTGAGGCATCTCCCCCATCCCCACCCTGCCTCTCCAAAAAACGTTTCTAAAAATGCTTGTATCTGCCCTCGGAGATGGTTCTCACTGGACCATAGAGCAGCAGAGAAAACCTGCACCCCAAGAGCCTTTGGAGTTTGCATCACACTCCTGGGCTGCTGCCAGATTGGCCTTGTCAGTGCCGCGAGTAGATCTGAAGGAAGATCAGGACTTTTCTTCCCTGGGCCAGTTGCTGGGGATTCAATTCCCAACACAGCACCTCTGCCCTGGCGGCAGAACGTGCTGGAAATGCCCGCTTTCCCTTTGTGTCGCCAACTGTCAGGTGCAAGACGCAGTCTTCCTCTCAAAGCGCGGAAGGGCAGCTGGGCAACAATGCTGCTGCAGTCGCTGGGGGGGTGCTGTCTCCCCCATCACCATTCTGGTAGGCCCAAGCTTACCACAAAAAACTTCTTGCCCCTGAGCGTCACATTGACTGGAAGAATAGCCAGTATTGCCCTGCAGTCTGTTATGAACTGGCTCAGACTCATTCCCTTTTTTAGCAGGCTAACTGCCCAATGTGGCGATTTAGTAGCCCGAGATGATCACCGAACACACAGTGCATGTCTGGAATATACTCGAAAACCTCATGTTTTAAAAGCAGAAGCTTTTCCTCGCTACCCATGGAAGAAGATCAGCAGGGAAGAAAGTTGGGCTACTAAAAATCAACTTTCCCACACACAGTAATGCAAAAGGACCTCAAAGCTACATGAAGAAAAACAGGATTCCCTAGTCAGTCCTTTCTCCATCCTGTGGGTTAGGACAGAGCCCTTACTGGGCACAAATTGGAACAGGACAAGGGAAGCTGAAGAAAGGCTTCCCTGTTAAGGAGCTGAATGTCAAACAGACAAAAGGAAGGTGGGAGAGAATTTAGTGCTGCTCCTCTTTCCCCAGCTAGGCTAAAAATATTGCCCACGAACCGTCTCTTTGTTCTTGCAGAGCCTCTGCTAATTTCCCCAAGCAAGCTCAAGGAATCTACTAGTCTCAACACCTTCACTTCCCCTTCTTGCTCTCTGCCAACACACATGCAACAGCTGTACCATCTGGCAACAACTGCGCCTGCCCTCACCCCACCCATTCTGCATGGATAGGTTTCTCTGTGTCCAGTGCTAGAGCTTTCGACACTAGCCATTTTCAAGCCCACACCAAAAGTTAAGTGTACAAAGCACGTGATCTTCCCCGCCCCCTGCACACACACCCCATAGTTTTTAACCCAAGTGAACAGGTTTCAAAAGAGACAACGTAAGCAGCAGCACATTTCCCAAATGTCAGAAACTTCAAAGACTGAGCCGCGCTTGAACGCGGGCAAGGAAAAAAAACAAAGAAAGCAAGCCCATTTCTGCTCGTTTGTGGGATGATGGATATTTCCCAAAATGATGGTGCTTTGCCATTTAGGAGCAGGGTGGGAAGGGGATGGGGGAGGAAGGAGGGTGGTTCTGTCTTCTACTGAAGGGCTGGAAACGGTGACAGACAGGCAGATGTATAGACACAAGGCAGTTTGCTTTGCCGTCACATGGCAGTGCGGGTGGGGGTGCTGGGCTGGTTTAACCGCAGCGTTTTACATAGCCAGCCTGCAAAATCCACCTCTTCCACTTCAGAGCGTTTGATAAAGGCGTGATTCTGAAAGGGGAAAAGAGAGAGTAAAGCATAGGCATCTCTTTCGTCTAACACAGCTCAAAAGACACTCCGTACTTCCCTACCACACAGTCCTCGCTCATTGACTTTCAAACTAAGGCTCGGTCTACACTACATACTTCAGTATAACGACATTGCTCAGGGTTGTGAAAAATCCACACCCCTGAGCAACACAGATATACCAACCGTAACCCCCCCGCCGTGTAGACAGCGCTATGTCAGTGGGAGAGTTTCTCCCGCTGACATAGCTACTGCCTCTTGGAGGGGGAGTTACTAATCTGATGGGAGAGCTCTCTCCTATTGACTTAGGGCTTGTCTCCACTCCAAGCGGCGATCACTGCACCCGGGGTCGATTTAGCGGGTCTAGTGAAGACCCGCTAAATCGACTGCCGATTGCTCTCCAGTACTCCACCGGAACAAGCAGCATAAGGTAAGTCAATGGGAGAGTTCCTCTCGTCACCCCAGCATGGTGTAGACACCTCAGCATGGTGTAGACATCCCAGCCACGTAGCTGGAGTTGCGTAACTTAGGTCGACTTAGCCCCATAGTGTAGACCTGCCCTCAGAGCATCTTCTCCTGAGCTGCGCTGATGTCAATTTGTAGGGCAGCCCTGCCCCCCTAAGAGGTGGGCAGCCCTGCTTCCCGAAGTCAGCGCAGGAGGATCACTGAGACCAGACAAGGGACGGCGGCACCCAGTGGCAGGATTCTGGATCAATTACGTAATCTGAGAGGGCAGCTGCACTTGGCTAGCTTCCGCAAGCTCCCATCTGATAGCCAGCACTGGTGTAACCAGGGCTTCCAGGCAATGCTTTACAGGACGACGAAGGGTTGCCACAGCGTAACGGTCTCTGCTGCTGCTGTCCTAGGTAAAGCTAGGAGATCTGTCTCCCCAGAGCAGTTCTCACCCAGTGACGGGGTCTATATCACCCAATGACTCATCATGTTGCTAACGGTTTGGTCTGACAGATGCTTGTGTTGCAGCGACAGCTTCTTGCTGGAGCCACGCTGTACTGCCAGCTCTGTTCTGACGGAGCCGGAGGACCGGCTTGTTCTGTTCTCCAGCCAACAAAACCAGCTTTTTAGATAGATTTCCAACTAGCTGTCATTTTCCAAGCGTAGGGCTGGGTTTTTTGGTTTTCAGATAGTTTATCAGTAGGGGAGGGGGTGACAGCCGTACTGCTATCTAATAATGAACATCAAAATAATAATTAGCATGGGATATTATTATGGATGTCACGCTGGGAGATGGCAAGTAAAAGATCTGCCACTCCACAGAACCGCCAGCCTTTGCACCTGGAGGAGGGGGGAGGCAGGTGATGCAGCCCAGAGCAGCAGCTCCAAGAGGTATTGCAGGAGGAGGGGGGCACAGTCTCCTCGTCCCAGTCCACAGCAGCTGAGGAAACTAGTGCATAGCTGGGGAGAGGATCTGGAGCTTAACAGGGAAAACTGATCTCCCAAACTGCCTGGGAAGACATGGAGATTTCTATACTCCTGTTTTCCTTCCCAGAGACTTCTCTGAGGAATCACATTCGGAAGGCCTGGTGCCTGCACTGGGCTTGGTTAGCAGGATGGGCTGCAGGACCTATGTGTATTGGGCCCGGCTCTGGAAGACTGTAAATGCCATCAATCTGACTGGTATTTCCATGTAGCTTTTCCCTCACCTCCCACTCAGTTCATCCTTAATGTCACTTTGGAGCTTTCAGTGTCTCAAGAGGAGGAAACCAAATGCAACAGCAGCTGCTTCTGGTCAAGGAACTGAGGGGAATCCCGCCAACAATGCAAGCCCGAGCTGCCCACACTACAAAACAACTTGCAGCTCCCCACTTACCATCAGCATCTTCAGATCTGCCCGTTCTGCTGGATTTTTAATTAAGCTGAGAACAGAAGAAAAGGCAGGAAAGATCTGTCAGACTCCTCTTGTGAAAAGCTACTTATTTGGCTGGTCAGACTACCCAGCCTGGTGTCTCGTTTATTTGGAAGCCAGCGAATGCTGCCTTCAGCAGACCTAGACCTGGTCACTTCTATCACTACTCGAAAAGTGGTTTTATGCACCCTTCAAGCCTATCCTAGCAGATTCCTGGAAAAGCAGGATTCCCTTGAACAGTCAGACCTTTACATCAGATCTATCCAGGTTCTCATGCCACACCACACTATCCATGCCATTACCAAACCCTGCAGTAGGCTTAGGAGATAAGCATCATAGAAAAACTTCAGGGAATCCTGGTTCTGAAGGTCCAGGTCCTGCTCGACACTTTACTCAAAGAGTCTAGCAGAAGTTGCTGAGAAACCACTCCCACCCTCATTTGAAAATAAAGATGACAGCGTAAGTTTCCGACAGCGACCAGCCATTTTAGGTGCCGAACTTGAACCACCAGAAAGACACCTTATTTTGAGATGGAGCTGCTGCTCTACATTTCTGAAAATCAGGCTTCTTCAAGGAGTTTCAAGCTGGGCACCCAAAAATTGAGGATCTCAAAGTCATTAGTCAGTGTGGGAAAAGGTAGGCTTAGAAAGCTGCAAAAGATCAACCCATATCTGAGACTGAAGCGCCTCCACGAACCAAAGCAAAGCTGGCAGTTCTCAGTTCAGGCCCAATAGTCATGATGTTGCCTCGTTAGGCATATCTAATATGGGGGCCAACAGCAACCCTTGATGTTGAAAATTAGCACTGTATCGTCTAAATACAACCAACCCCGCCTTCCCAAGTACACAGTCTACATTAATTACAAGATCTTTTGACCAAAGGCAGCTGAGCTGCCGGTGTCACCAGAGCATGAAGCCCCAAACAAGGCAAGTCCAACTGAAGAAAAACAATCCCTTCTAAGTGAGGAGAAGGCAAGAGATTGAGAGAGAAGATCACATGCTCCTAGAAACATTCTAGGCAAGCTTCCTCCGGGTGAGTGTTTGGAAGAATACCACATCGTGGAGAAGGCTGTTAATAAACCAGCATCGGCTGCAGCGTTTATCTAGGCATCCACCAAAAGTCTTATAATAAATACAAAAAGACTGGGGGACTGGATGACTCAAGTGGCCAACCCACACTGGTAGCAACTCCGAGCCATTACCCGACCGCCATTTTTGTAGCCTATATGAAATGGGCTTGTGGTCTTAGTTCATGTCTTAGTAAAACAAGCGCCCACATAAGCGCTCACAGGGACCACAGATTGAATGGCTCACAAGGACGGACGGAGGATAGTCCCTCCAGGTCAGAGTGGAGGCACACTGGCTGCGGCACGTGGGAAACCGTGTCCTGCTACTGCCAGCCTTGTTATGGGATGGAAAGTTTCAATCTCTCGGGCTGCTGAACCAGCCCCATGAACAGCCTCGATGTTCACTTGTAGAAGGAGAACCTTACCATTTATTTACAAACTCCTGGAAGTCTTGTGTGAAAACTCCATTCGGCAGCTTAGGAGGAGGCTGGGAAAGAAGCAAAAGGGTTTTCTGCATCAATGGGTCAGGAAGAAGCACAGTCACTGAAAAGCTGCAGCCTGAAGACCTGACTGCTCATATGTGTTTCCCTTTAAACCTCAGAACTGAGCAACTATTGCTTCCCTTTACAGCCACTAGCCTCCCATCAGTGCATATCTTCTGCCAGCTATACCATTCGAGGCCTCCGAAGGAAAACCTTGCCCCCCACCCTAGGTAAAGCACTGCCCATTTGGCTAGGTGCACAGGGGAAGCCAGAACTGCCTACTTTTGAAGCATTAGGTATTAGCCACTGCCAAAAGGTTGGAGTTCAACATCCCAGATCAGTGTTCTGATAAGACACAGCAAATCCCACATACCTGAAACCCTACAGCAGATAGAACTAACTCAACAGGTACAACTGCGGTCAGGTAACAACTCATCATGTCACCTTGCAGGGAAAGCTGCTCCTCCCACAGACTAGTCCTGCCTCCTTACTGGGACACGCTCACTTTAAGACCCCAGATTGTAATTTACCTTAAGGTTTTTCAAAAAGAGACCAGTCGTTCGGCCCATGCTGAGAACACTGGGGTGATCTGGCTCCTAGCAGAGGGATTGTTTATCCTTCACAGGTCTGTGGAGGAGTTTGTTCTAAATGGCTGATTACTGAACAAATAGTTCATTACCCTCAGGGCTCCTCTTTCTACTCTTCTCACGGTTTCTTCAAAGATATTATAAGCCCTTGTCTGCAGGGTCTTATTCCAGAGCTAGAGGCACTTTAGTGTGGTAGACTTTAATACCAAGAGACAGGAAGAGCAAATGGGCGAGAAGGGACAGGATACAGTACAAATAGAGTGAGTAGGAGAGAAGGAGATTTTAGTGACGCTTTCAGTTCTTATTACCCCTTTAACGGATTAGCAAATGAGGATTTTTGATCTATTCTGAGTCAAGAGACTCCAAAAGACTCCAACAAACAGAGGGAAAGGAGAAAATGTGATTTCAAATACCAACCTCATTAACAATATAGTCCAGCAGTTCGAAGATAGCCATTGCAGGCCGACTGTCCATTCCATGGCCTGTGTAGTTAAGAGGACAAAGGCAGAGTAAGAAACTGCACATGGACGAAAGTAACAGAACCTGCACAGTAGAGTTTACTAAGATGGAAGCAAAAGCAAGACAATGGGGATGGATTTTTTTAAAAGCCTGTTTTGAGCTTTATGGTTTCAACCTCTGCTACCAAATCACTGATCCATTTAATAGCTCGGAGCATTTGGGAAGCACATGATCATATTGCTTGGAGGGCTTGAAGCAGACCAAGAAGCCTTTGACCTTTAGATCAGCAGTTCAAATCCAGCCACTCAATAATTACCATCTAATGGCTGTTCAGATGCCTATGTGAGATGAATTTGGTGGCCTCAGTCTAGCTCCCTGATCTGTTCAGATCTCAAATACACCATAACTGGCACATATTTGGCCCCTTTGAGATCAGTCTAATCAGTGACCAAAGAGCAAATGGGCTGCTGAAACTGAACTTGCCCTTACCCCAGGGCCAGGATTCAGGCACGCTAGCAGGAAGCTTGCTCTGCCGATACAAATGCTGGACCTGACCTATGGGTAACAGCACTTGCCTCTAGGGCTGTCACATCTCACCAACAAAGTTTGTCAGCAAAGCAATATCACATTGCTAGAGATACAAATTTCCAGTTCAAGTTCTGCACAGTTAGACCAAGATTTTCCAATGATTTTGGGGGCTAAGCTGGATACTTCTTAAAGGGACCCGATTTTCCAAGGGCTGAACACCGGACCTCTGAAAATCAGGCTCCTTTCAAAGTGCCGCAAATTGCGCATCCCAAATCACGAGTCACTTTGGAACATCTTGGCCTTCATGTGTATGTTGCCTTTGTGGAAGACTGACTTTACACACAGATTTTGTAAAAACCAGAGAAGCAAGAATCACTGCTGGCTTCTGTTTCCAGTGTTTAGGTATAGGCCAGGCTCCTGCAGAACAAGTTCCCATTGAACCCTTATGTATTTGCCTCGCTTCAATTCCATGTCCAAACGCAGAGAAATGATGAAAGCGAATTAATGGTCCTGGATTGTTTCATATTTCTAACCCAGCCCCATAAACCAAAAATCATCCCAGCACACAGGTGTCAATTTCAGCCCCTACCACTGACAGGGCGCCCTGGGGGTCTGGGCCGCGGTGAGATGCTGTGAGGTTCTCCCTCTGCCCCATCGACCATGGGACGGCCAAATATCGCTTCCAGTTCCTTGGAGTCTGGTGGGGGGATTGGGTACCTTCCGATAGACAGCTCCACCAGGGAGAGACCCATGCTCCAGATGTCGGATTGAACTGAGTAATGAGTGCCCTGCAACCGCTCAGGCTGTAATGAAAAGTCACAGATGTGCCTCAGTAAAACTGTACTTCCCAACAGAAGAGAGGTCACTGCATGGAAGAGACTCCATCGACTGGAAGTAATTTGTGGCTATGGCACATTACTGCAGAGAAACTCTGCCACAAACAGAAGGATACAAAATACTCCCTACTAATTATACATTTAAATGAAATAGACCGACTATCTTTCTCCTGCCCCGCCTCCCCCACCTTCAGGCTAAAGTGGCTCTTGCAAACTGCTTTTTTTCTGTTTCAAGGAGGAATTGCTGCAGGGACAGGCTGTTTGAAAATCCACTCAGTCTTCTTTATAAACTAGAATCCTCTGAGAGCCTACAACTCTTGACACCAGCAGGAAACATTAATATGCTCAGAGGAAATATGGGGGGGGTAGGAGGGATTTCTTCTACCTAGAAAGATCATGTCCACAGAATGTGTAGTACAGGTTTTATATACTTAAATGCTACTCTAATGCAGCTCTTCTTTAAGTTCTGCTATGGCCAGAAGAGTGACTGACTCCACAGGGTTATTTTCTCAGTGTATTCAGATCTAGTTTACTCAGTATACAAGTAAAAAAAAAAAAAAAAAAAAGATGATTTTCTTATCTGCCCCATACTACAAACTCCCAAATAGAATCTGAAAACCTAGCTGGGTTTTGTTCCTTACATCACTGCAGAACGAATAGGAGTCACAGCTGCCAGTAGAGATATGACTCAAAATCACAGAGAGCCGATGGACTGAGAAAGAAGGGGACTTCTTTTTTTTTCCTTCTAGTCTCTGTTTTAACCATAACTGCACTTGAAGAGGAACAGTGCCCAAAATACAAAGAAGTTCAGAGTGAAGGACACAAGCACAGGCTGACAGCACCCCTAAGAACCCACGTCTTTGTTCCTAGCCGTCAGGCTAGGGAGATGCACACTATACGCCACCCCACTGAGGCGAACGAGCTAAGGATCGAGTGCCAGCACAGATTTAGAGTTTTGTAATTACACTGGTCAGTAAATCTCCTGCTGAAGAAAGCAAAGGACGCTGGCTAGAATGGGAGTTGTGCAAGTTTTCACAGACATATAAGAGTCAATATGCAACAATTCCATTGCAGATAGTTAGATTGCCACCAGACTGTTTGGATAGAAAGATGGCATCTAATGATTAAAGGAACTTCAACTTAAACATCTCACCTCGTCTGAAATTCTTCTGCCTACTGCTACAAAGTAACACCTGAGGTGACTGTCACTTCTTTTTCCAGTTCACGTGTGGCACTGGACACCACTTTGGACCCAATTCCCCATTGCCCTGCACAGTGTGGAATATCTGCACCAGTGTGAAGCGAATGGAACACGCTACCACTCTGGCTTTCACTTTGCAGCTGGCGTGAATGACTGCACAAGGCACAGGGCAATGGAGAATGAAGTGTTTTATGGAGTCCTTTTCAGAGTTTTCACCTGAATAAGCCAATATCCCTTAGGTGACTTGGTTCTTTCCACATAGAAAAAAAAGCGCGGGGGCGGGGGGGGAGGAGGAGGAGGAGAGCGTTTTTTAGAAGGTGCAAGGTCAGCTCTAAGCCCACAAATATTGGCAGGGGAACTCAGGAGCACATGTAGGACTTCAAACTACTTTTAACTCTTTTTTGAAACTGACTCGTTTTAAGGTTGATGGCATCCCTTTAAAAGAAGCAGATTTATGTAAGTCCATGTAGGTGTTCTTTGTATGTCCAAAAAATAAATCAAGCTGGAGACAGAAGTGAAGTGAGGTCTTGATCTAGCCCTCAGTGATTTGTCCATATATTACAACTACTTCTCTGGTGGGCTAGTTTCAGCATAGAAGGGTGTAATAGCAGGATACTACAGGCCAGGCTAAGAATGCCTGGAGTTGTGAGTGACCCTGGACACTATGCTAACTCTCTGTCTGGTTCAGGAGAGTGGTAAATCCCTTTCCCTTGTAGAATACATCCAAAGGTTTACATAAGAATAGGGGCTTACAGACATGTAGGATCGAGTCCCCACAAAGGAGTTTGCCATGGAATCAATGAGCTGACCGCTAACCCCAAAGTCACATAGCTTTATCTCTCCCCGGGAATTGACCAGGATGTTAGAAGGTTTCACATCTGAGAATAGAAGAGAGAGAGATAAAAAATGTATGTGCAATGCTAGGTAAGAATAATCCAGGTCTCTGGTTGTCATGAGAAGCTATTTTTAGGTTCTCCCCTCTCACCTCTGTGCATGATCTGATGCTTCTCTCTTAGATAGGCCAAACCTCGCAGAACCTGGAAGGAAACCAAAGGAGAGAAAGAGCTAAAAGCTGGGAAGGAAAAGTCTTTCCCTTTGGAGAGAGAGATCTTGCACAGACTTAAGATGCTGTAATACTGCAACATCACCAGTAAAGCCCCCCTGTAGCAACTAAGGGTTTCAGCTTTAGGGAGTAACCGACACACAGCCGAACAAATGTTGGTTGCACTTTAGATCCACTCTGCTTAAGGAGATAAAACTTTCAAACAATTGAAAATCCCACAGTGTTAGATATGAAATCACCGGTTCATTGGCTCAATGGAAACTTTCCATGAGGCTCCTACACCACCATTCCTACCCTACTAGCTGGGGCTGCAGTAAATGGTCTGAAATATACTAACTTCCCAGCTCATACGGTTATTCTTTTGACTCCTAGTCGATGATACAATAACAATATATGGGGTGGAGGGAAAACCTGGGTTTGCAACTTGAATTAGTAGGTGTATCTACCAACAGAAAATTGTGCTCCAGCTCCAAGGAAATAAGAGACTCCCTGGGTACAGAATGGATTTCAGGAAGGGTTGGGAACCAGACCAGCAAAGGGTCAAGACTCAGATGGTATTTGCACCCAGTACACCCTGAGAGACAGTAAGCTCTGAATAGGAAGACCAGATAGCAAGTGTGAAAAATTGAGATGGGGGTGGCAGGTAATAGGCGCCGTATAAGACAAAGCCCCAAATGCTATAAAATCGGGACATCTGGTCACCCTAGTTCTGAAAGCCTGAAGCCTCTCCTCTTCCCCTTGGGTTTTGAGTGAGCTCTGTGAGAGGGATACTCACCGCTATGCTGACTTTCCCCAAGATCTCCTCCGGAATCCTTTTGGCTTCTTTCAACACTTGATCTAGAGAGCCTCCATCCTAAATTCAGAGCAGAGAAGTTAACTGAGCACTGGCAGGAAAATAAAATAAATGGCCTTAAAAGTGTTTTCCAGCTCTAGGCTCTACAATTTACATACCTATGAGGACTGAGCAGTGTCAACAGCATAACACATTTGGGTTCACTAGTCAGTAAAACTAGATCAGACTGTCCACACACTAAGGAAGATCTCTGTGGTAACCACCACAGGTGGGTGTTCAGGGGACTACGTCCACCTCTTGCTAAGCACTTCATGATTAAACTTTGCTATCTTAGGAAATGCCATTTTAATTTCGTCTAACATATTAATGTCACAGGCTTTCCGCACTGTTTCTCCTACACACTACTGTCAACGCAAAAGCAGCACTGACTGCACCAATGTGGAGGAGATACAACACGCCCTCCCCGCCAGATACAGCGGAAGACGCACACTGCAGTTCAGTGAATTCTGTTCAGTGGAGGGTTTGCAACATTTCCTCTTGGCTGGACCCCAAAACCGCCACTTCCGCTTTCCAGAAAGTCAATTTCTCTGTATTTTAGCTGCTCAAGTAGGGCTGTACAGCTCCTAGACAGAGTCTGATGTCCCAGCTCCACCACCCATGCCCTGAGCAACAAGCCTTTTGCTGTCAGAAAAAACTCTAGCATCACTTACTCCTCTGCATCTACAACCCAGAGGGATCTGCCCAGTATACAGCACTGGAGAGCAGCAGCAGCTTAATAGGAGGGAGTTTAGGCTCACCATGTGCTCCATGCAGATGCTGATCTCCCCATCGCTGTAGAAAGCTCCATAGAAACCCACAATGTACGGAGAGTTACACTCGTGCAGGACCTGCAGCTCTCGGATAATTTGATTACGAATGGCGGGTTTAATTTCTAAATGAATCAGCTACAAAGGGAGAAAAATCAAACAACAGAATCAAGGAACAGCTACAAGAACATACAGCTGTAGCCTGGAAGTAAGGGAAGGGAGAAACAAAAGAGGGGGTTGAAAGAGCCCCACTTTGTCCTGTACTGGTGAGAGCTGTTCGCCCTATCTGAGCAGTGAGGCTTGCTGGACAACTATTTCTGCATGCTACACAGAATGCAGCTGAGCACACTAGTCACCCCTGTGCTGACCGTACAGTGCAGAAAAGCAGTGGAACAAGCTGGGTGCAGAGATGACACCCAACATAGTAAATGTTTATCACAAGAAAACCCAGCTCTACAGGCACTATAAAGGGTGTTTGAATACCATAGAAACCAGGGAAAAACTAAAACATGGTCACTGAGAGGGAGTTGTTTGAAAGTTATGGAGCAGATGAATTATTCCTTGGACTCCATGTAGGACCAGTTTATCAATGTGCAAGCAATACCTCGCAGGAAGGGAAGCTGTAGCTGCTAGAAAAATCAAGTCATTCTCAAACAATAGCGATCACCATTACATGCTTTAGAGTCTCTTGAGACTTCTATCATTCTGCATGGGGAGACAGGGAAGGTTTGGACCAACAAACAGCCCTAGGCTTGACAATGCTGAAAACCTCAAACCAGGCTCTGAACACAGGTTTCCATCAGTTTTCACATACACAGCATCCCACTGACACCCTTCCAGCTCCAGTATTCCCAAGCTAGATGCTACTGTGGAATGCTATACAGATACTGCTGTCCAGGGGAAGCCAGTCAGTGGGACATATTTGCTCATCAGACCCATTAATTTTACCTGTTGCTTTTAAAATTCATCCCTATAAGACAAGAGACCAGAGTTTCAAGTTAAGTCACACTGGATTTGAACAACCGTCAGAAATCTTACTTGTTCTCTCACTGAAAGTTAGCCATTTTTTTTATTTATTTTTTTTTGACAGGCAGGTAAATTATTTATTTCCATTATTAGGCATCATTAGGTGGGTGAACAAATTGTGTGTCTGGGACAGTAAGTTTTCATTACAAACTCACAAGGTTCCTCAAAGAACTATTCTCGCATTAACAAAGCTCTTAAGTTGGAAGTTGAGAAAGGACATCTCAAGGAAGAAGGGTCTCTGAGACTTTGTTGCTGCGTATGATCTAATCCACAGCAAGTGGCACAGAGTCCAGGAACCACTTTAACAGACCTGTCCTCTGCTAGCAAAGTGCACTTCTTTCTGCAGGTTCTGCCACACATGGTCTCTCCTTGTTAGGTTTCAGAGTAGCAGCTGTGTTAGTCTGTATCTGTAAAAAGAAAAGGAGTACTTGTGGCACCTTAGAGACTAACACATTTATTTGAGCATAAGCTTTCGTGAGCTACAGCATCCGATGAAGTGAGCTGTAGCTCACGAAAGCTTATGCTCAAATAAATGTGTTAGTCTCTAAGGTGCCACAAGTCCTCCTTTTCTTTCTCCTTGTTAGCTACACCTTGCACCTGAAAACTGTACAATTCTTCCACAAACCTCATCCAATTTAGTCGAGTTGATTAAGAGCTGCTCTAATGGAAAAATAAAGCATGAACGTGCTCTAAACAGTACACAGGATTTGACAAAGTGCAGCTCACGTCCCATGGTCTAATACTGAAGAAGGAGTCAGAAGACTGGATTGCTCAGAGGATTAATAATGGACAAAACTCATCTTTGTGCCACTGTGTCAAATCCAGCTCAGGTCAACAGTGACAAAAAGTCACTATGAACTGATGACTGGTGGCTCACGCATAATGAGTTTGAGGAACCTCACTCTATTTGCTAGTGTTCACATCACAAGAGTCACCGTTGCTGGTAGTTTCAGCAGAAAGGACAAGGAGACTAAACTCTCATCTCACCCCAAAGGGGGATGCTCCAGGTCAGGGTTGAAGCACAGAGAAAAGAACAGTGCTGCTGCCTGGACAACACCTGTTCTAAGGATACCTAGGAGACTTGGTCTCCAGGGCTCATAATCAGGCACCCTTTACCAGTATAGAATTCATTTAAGGAAGCAGAAGGTTAAGAGTAGGCAAAGTCCTGCTTTTCTAACAGGATGATCTGCTGTTACAACCTCTCTCCTGCGTGGCACGATAGGCCAACACGAGCACAAGAAGGACAATTCACGTGCCACTTCTTTTACCTTTCGTGCCATAATGAGTCCTGAGGGTTTGTGCTGCACTTTGGTGACCACCCCACCGTTGCCAGCTCCCAGCTCGGAGATCCTCTCAAAGTCGTCATCCTTCAGCTCCCCAACCTTGGCTTTCTGGGTGAGGAAAGCCTCCAGCCTCTTCTTCTGCTGCTCATCCAATTCCAATTCCTCCAGCTTCTTCTGCAGATCTACCAGGTTTGCCCTGAAGAGAAACAGGGAGGAGCAGGACAAACTGTTAGAGCCGGTTAGGGCTCTGCTAAAGACAGAGAATTTGACGTCCCTTCCTTCAAAGGAGATGGCAAAACTAGAACTGTGGCTGTTTGCTAGCTACACAAAGAGCCAGAAGGCCCAGCATAATGCAAGTCCCATATATAGTTTATGCTGGACCCCTTCAGCACTGCCAGTAGGGAGAAGGGAGCTAAGAGGAAAACCCTCTCCAAAGCGATGTATATACTGATTCATATCTTGATATGGCAGTAAGATAAACAAATGACGCCTTATTACAAAGGCACAAACCCCGGAATGTTACTGATAGGGACATAAGAATTGCCATATTGGAGATAAATGATGCAGCTTCTTCCCAGAAGCCCAGATCCCTTACAGAGATGCAGCTTTTTACAATCAGCCATTTAAGCAATACCATGAAACCAGCGGGAATCATTAAAACCTTAAAGGCGCTTTAGCAGCCGTGCTGCTCACTGCCGGGAGAGGAGCCAGCTGTGCCAGCAGCCGCTCCCCTTTCCGAATCCAGGGATACGGCTAGGCAGTCCACTAAGTAACATGAGAGGGACTTTCCATGAAGTCATGCAAATCCCCCAGCTTAAAACACTACACCCCTCACCATCCTGCCCAAATTCAATGCCTATCTATTATCCAAGCACAATGGGGTATTTATGCTCGGATGCCACCTGCCTTTTGGAGCTCCTGTTGGGATATCTTTGGTCATCAGAAGACTGGACTGTCAGTGTGGTAAGCCCAACGGTGTGGAGCTATTTCCCCTTCGAAATCCATCCCAGCCCTTCAATCCACAATTTTAACCACCACCCCAAAAAGTCGCCGTCTTTATTTTTCTTCTTTAGAGGGTGCTTTTTACAATCACCCTGCCAAGCCTCACACATAGAGCCCACCCCCTCTTCCCGGGCAATAGCACCCCATCCCCCACCTTTGTTTCCAGGTGAATGTTTATGGTGAAGAATTGGGCAGAGCTCCAAGCACTTAGGACAAGTGAGTCTTTACAGGTATTCCCCTGAAACCCCTCGCAAACTATACAGCCCCCATCATCTCTCCAGTCTACCCAGCCAAACGACAACACCCCCCCAAGTATAACTGTCCCAACATCCCCCGTACCCCCAGCGACACCTGTCTCACCCCAGTTCCACGTTCCCAGCCAGGGTGAGAGGCCCAGCTAGGTGCCTTTGTCTCGGCCCCTGGCCACCTAACCCTGGTCCTAACCCTGGCCACCTCCCTGCCCTTCCCTTGGCCCCCTGGGGGCGACCCCTCTCATGGCCCCATTTCCACTTGAGCTCCTGCCCCCACCCCTCCATGCTCTCAGCCCTCTGCCCCATAGAGCCCCACGTGCAGTTCCCATCCTCCCACCTGGCTCCCCCTCCCCCAACTCTGACCTCATCCTCCAGCCCTGTTCCCCTGCCCCCCCACAGCCTGGGTCCCCCCCGAACCCCCCGCATGCCTGAAGCACCACCCCCGGCCCCCCTCATCCCCCAAGCCCAGTCCCCCCAAACCCCCTTCACCCCCCCATCCTGGTTTCCCCCCTCGGGCATCCCTTCATCTCCCAGGCCCCCCAACCCCCTTTGCCCCCTCATCCTAACCCCCCCCAGCACCCCTTCACCACCCAGGCCCGGCCCCCCCCCCGAACCCCCCGCATGCCTGAAGCACCACCCCCGGCCCCCCTTCATCCCCCAAGCCCAGTCCCCCCAAACCCCCTTCACCCCCCCCCATCCTGGTTTCCCCCTCGGGCATCCCTTCATCTCCCAGGCCCCCCAACCCCCTTTGCCCCTCGTCCTAACCCGCCCAGCACCCCTTCCCACCCAGCCCCCCGAACCCCCCGCAGCCTAACACCACCCCCCCCCCCTCTCCCCCAACCCCCCCCCAAACCCCTCACCCCCCCATCCTGGTTTCCCCCCCCATCCCTTCATCTCCCAGCCCCCAACCCCCTTACCCCCTCTCCTACCCCCCAGCACCCCTTCACCACCCAGCGCCCCCCGAACCCCCGCATGCCTGAAGCACCACCCCGGCCCCCTTCATCCCCCAAGCCCAGTCCCCCAAACCCCCTTCACCCCCCATCCTGGTTTCCCCCCTCGGGCATCCCTTCATCTCCCAGGCCCCCCAACCCCCTTTGCCCCCTCGTCCTAACCCCCCCAGCACCCCTCCACCACCCAGGCCCGGCCCCCCCAACCGCTGTGCCCCCTCAGCTCAGACCCCCGGCCCGAACCCTCTTCACGCCCCCTGCCAGGGTCCCCCCCCGACCTCCCTGCGTGCCTGAAGCCCCACCCCCGGCCCCCCTTGACCCCCAAGCCCGGCCCCCCCAAACCCCCCTTCGCCCCCGGCCGTTCCCCCGGCACCCCCCCCTCCCCCCCCCCCCCCCCCCCCCCCCCCCCCCACCCCCGCTGTCCCCCGGGCCCCCTGCACCTCCCAACCCCCCTTCACCCCCCGGGCCGGCCCCCCCGCACTCACTCGGAGGAGCCGTCCGGGCTCGGGCCCTCGGCGATGGTCGGAGTGATCGTCAGGGCCGGCAGCACCGGCTTCCTCTTGGCCGGCATGGCCGGGCCGGGGCCGCCCTCCTGTCCCGCGGAGCCTAGCGGGGGCCCCGCCGCATGGCCCGGCCCGGGGCCGCCCTACCCCCCGCGGGGCTCGGCGCGCCGCGCTACGCGAGGCCGGGGCTTTGCGGCCTGGCCGGGGAGGGGGCAGCGGAGGCCGGAGGGAGTCAGCGCGCGGGGCCGGGCTGCATCGCAGGCGGGGCGGCACCGGGGCGAGCCAGGCGGGGAGGGGCGGGCACTCCCGGCAGGGGCGGGCCGGCCGCGGCAGTCTCGCGAGAGCGCGCTCCCGGCGGCCAGGCGCGGCCCCGGGCAAGGCAGCAGGGAGGGGGGCGGGGCGCGGGAGAGAGCGGGTGGGGCGGAGGGACGCGGCGATGGGAGGGGGAGTTGGGGGAGGGGATGGAGGGATGAGGGGGACGGAGTGGGGGTGAGGCAGGGTGGAGGGATAAGGGGATGGAGTAGGGTGGGAGGGATGATGGGGGTCGAGGGATTCGGTGGGGAGGGATGGGGTGGAGGGACAGGAGGGGCGTCGAGGGATGAGGTGGGGAGGGACAGGGTGGGGGTGGAGGGATGGGGGGAAGGAGGGGTGGGGTGGGGAGGGGAGGGGGGAAGGGATGAGGCAGGGTGGAGGGATAAGGGGATGGAGTAGGGTGGGAGGGATGAGGGGGGTCGAGGGATTCGGTGGGGAGGGATGGGGTGGAGGGACAGGGTGGGGGTCGAGGAATGAGGTGGGGAGGGTCTGGATGGGGTTGGAGGGGTGGGGTGGGGGTAGGGAGCGGGAGGGGTGAAGGGATGAGGCAGGGTGGAGGGATAAGGGGATGGAGTAGGGTGGGAGGGATGATGGGGGTCAAGGGATTTGGTGGGGAGGGATGGGGTGGAGGGACAGGAGGGGCGTCGAGGGATGAGGTGGGGAGGGACAGGGTGGGGGTGGAGGGATGGGGGGAAGGTGGGGTGGGGAGGGGGAGGGGGGAAGGGATGAGGCAGGGTGGAGGGATAAGGGGATGGAGTAGGGTGGGAGGGATGATGGGGGTCGAGGGATTCAGTGGGGAGGGATGGGGTGGAGGGACAGGGTGGGGGTGCGGAGGGAGGTCGAGGGATGAGGTGGGGAGGGATGGGGTGGGGGTGGGGGGGATGAGGGGGGAAGGAGGGATGGGGTGGGGGTAGGGAGCGGGAGGGGTGAAGGGATGAGGCAGGGTGGAGGGATAAGGGGATGGAGTAGGGTGGGAGGGATGATGGGGATCGAGAGATTCGGTGGGGAGGGATGGGGTGGAGGGACAGGGTGGGGGTGGGGAGGGGGGTCGAGGGATGTGTTGAGGAGGGATGGGGTGGAGGGATAAGGGGATGGGGTAGAGGGATGGGCGGGGTAGGGAGGGGGTGGAGGGATAAGGGATGGAGTAGGGTGGGGATGAGGGGGTGGGGTGGGGGAGGGCGGGATGAGGGGGAAGGAGGGATGGGGTGGGGTGGTGGATGAAGGGATGAGATACGGTGGAGGGATAAGGGATGGAGTAGGGCGGGGATGGTGCAGTGGGGGATGGAGGGATGGTATGGGGGGATGGTGGGGTGGGGGGGATGGAGGGATGGGGTCGGGGAGCTGGAGATGAGTGGGTAGGACTGGGTTGACAGAAGGATGGTGGGAGTGGAAGGTCTGGGGGTTTGCGGAGTTATTAGCTGGGAATAAGGATTTCTATAACTTTAGTTTTCACCATGCAGCTTTCCCGGCGTTATCATCAATAATAAATCTTAGACGTTTTGGAGAAGTTGGAAGGCTGCAGTCAGACCCACCTTTCTGTTTGTCTATCATCCGTCTGTCTGCCTAGCTACTCAGATGGCTCCCTGCCTCCAGAGCGTCTGAGTACTTCCTACGGGTTTTAAAACAGAAAGGACAGTCGCATTCTCTCTTTCTTCCTCCCCAGCCCATAGAACTAAGTGGATTCGTTTATAAATTCATATGAGTGTGAGAGAGAACGAGGGCAAAGCGATGATACTGCCTTTAGTTCTGACTCAGCATCGGGAGGACTCGACTGCACTCTCTGTAGATCAGTATGCTGCTACTCATCTTGGCTGCCCCCACATGCTGCAGAAGACGGATAACTCTCCCATCTTAGGTGTGTGATTTTATCCCAGTAGGTACAGATACCAGGATGTTGGCTGAATTAGAAATCTAGGTAATAAATACATGATAAAAGAACTAATCATTATCAGTGAATCATAACCAAGAATAGATTCCCTCATGACACACTTTCTAGTGATCAGCTCATGCTTCAAATCACAGTCTTGTGTCACCAGGTTGTTCTTCCTCCCGTCTTCCCAGTTCACCCCTGTGGTTGCCACCCAGGCCTGGGCTAACCAACTGGAAACCCCCCATCTGACGAGATGGCATTGTTTCATTGAGCAAAGGGCAATGTTCAGTCACATAATTACATGCAGGCAATTAAAATCAAGTGCACTCCTGATCCTGGCAAACCCTGATAACCATATGTTGGTACCAGCGCCAAGTGGGTGAATTGCCAGCATCAGTTTTGACAGGTTGTGACCAAAAAAAAACCCAACCCCCAGCCCAAGTCACTTTCACATTTCTCCTCTTCCCGTTAATGCTATAACAGCCCCTCTGTGAGCTTCTGACTCCAACAAAATAGCAGATGAAATTCAGTTTTGATAAATGCAAAGTAAGGCACATTGGAAAACATAATCCCAAAATGATGGGGTCAAAATTAGCTGTTTCCACTCAAGAAAGAGATCTTGGAGTCATTGTGAATCATTCTCTGAAAACATCTGTTCAATGTGCAGCAGCAGTCAAAGAAGCTAACAGAATGTTAGGAACCATTAGGGAAGGGAGAGAGAAGACAGAACATATCATAATGCCACTGTATAAATCTATGGTACGTCCTCATCTTGAATACTGCCTATAGTTCTAGTTGCCCCATCTCAAAAAAGATATATTAGAATTGGAAAAATTCCAGAGAAGGGCAACAAAAATGATTTGGGGTATGGAACAGCTTCCATATGAGGAGAGATTGAAAAGAGTGGGACTGTTCAGTTTAGAAAAGAGATGATTAAGGGGGGAGGGATATGAGAGACGTCTATAAAATCATGAATGGTGCAGAGAAAGTGAACAAGGAAGTGTTATTTACCCCTGCACATAACACAAGAACCACGGGTCGCCCAATGAAATCAATAGGCAGTAGGTTTAAAACAAACATAAGGAAGTGCTACTTCACACAACACACAGTCAACCTGTGGAACTCGTTGCAAGGGGATGTTGCGGAGGCCAAAAGTATGACTGGATTCAAAAAAGAATTAGATCGGTTCATGGAGGATAGGTCCATCAATGGCTCTTAGCCAAGATGGTCAGGGATGCAACCCCATGCTCTGGGTGTTCCTAAACCTCTGACTGCCAGAAGCTGGGACTGGATGACCAGGGGTGAACCACTCAATAAATTGCCCTGTTCTGTTCATTCCCTCTGGGGCACCTGGCATTGGCCACTGTTGGAAGACAGGATACTGGGCTAGATGGACCCAGTCTGGCTGTTCTTATGTTCTCGTGCCTTCTGAGATCTGAACCCAGGGACCAGGAACACGGAGGAGCTAGAGAAATACTGGCTTTGGCCTTGATTCTCCACTGCTGTACATCAGTTTCATCTGCACTTACATCAGTGGAGTGACGTCTGATTTACACTGGTGAAAATGAGGGGAGAATCAAGCCCCTTATCTTTGCTTTTGGGACCTCAGCTCTCTGGAGCTTCCTCCCTTTTGGTTCCAGAAGTCCCAGGGTGTCAGCCCCTTTTGATGAAAAATTTTACTTCTGGCCTTTGGCACAGTCCCTTGGTTTTACATCACAGCCCCTTGGTTTCCTGTCTGGTTTGATCCAGATGTTTGTTTTGCCTTTAGGTCTCTTTACTACAAAGCTACTGGATACTTTTGTAGCTAGGAGAGCTGCAAAAATTAAAATGTGTTACAATAGAGCCCTGATTATTTGTTGGGGGAAAGACACAAATTTGTGGATAATTAGGAGTTTGGTGAATTGGGGAAGCATAATCCAGCTGCATCTGCCCGAGATTGCTCGGCTTTTCAGCCTGCTGGGTAGTCAGATGGCCTTTCCACTGTGCTCAGGAACTCAGGATGTTGTGCAAACTACTGAAAACCCACTGAAATGCAGCCACCTCTGGGGTGGGATGCAGCTGCTGTATAACAGCACACAGCAATGCTACACAACAGCTCAGGACAGGAAGTGAAGGAGAATACAGTATCCACTGGACACTTTATGGGGTATGTAGGGAGACAGAATAGAACTGCCTCTGGCTAGGAGCCTGCATTTAACAGTACAAATCTTGCAAAAAGCGTCAAGGGCTTTTTAATCACAAAGCCTGCAGGCCTTTGATTTTGCATTTCAGCTGAAAGACCTTTCCACTTCCAGTGACTTAAGGCATGAACTTTAAGGCATATGGGTGTTGGAGGCTGGCCAGCCATACATTCTAAATGCCTAGGGTGACCAGACAGCAAATGTGAAAAATCGGGAAGGGGGCAGGGGGTAATAGGAGCCTATATAAGAAAAAGTCCCAAAAATTGGGACCGTCCCTATAAAATCGGGACATCTGGTCACCCTATAAATGCCCCAAGCCTTTTTCTTTCTTCCTTATTCTCTGCTATGGGCGAAGAAGAAGGGATGCTATTGAGTACAGAGGTTCTCAAGTGAGATGTATAACTGAGCTTTAATTGACACTGACTGCTAAACATGGGCATCCCCATGGCACAGGCTATGCGCCTGAAGTTCAGGTCCAGCATGTGCCAGGCTCAGCAGCAAACCCAGGATGGAGGTGGGAGTCTCTTTATTGGCTTTTCCACCATCCTGGTTGGAGGCCAGGGGAGGATGCCCCCAGCAGCCTGGATTTAGTTGCTCTCTGTTGCCATTATGTTCCAGGTCCCAGGCTCTCTAATAATTGTCATTTACTCCCCTAGCTGCCTCCTGCAGAATGTGAAGCTGAAACATGCGACCTTTGCACCAAGTGCCTTGGGTTCCAGTAACCCGGCAATAAAATCACACATCTGAGGACATTGCTCAGTGGAAGCTCCTGCCCCGATGCTATTGCATCACCACGGGAGCTGACAGCACCTGGGGAACAGGATTTAAAAAATCACAACTTCTCGGGGAGCGGGGATATGAACCTGTATGCTCCCCCTAAGCAGGATTAGAGCTCTGTCTCTCTTCAGCAGTGGGG